AGCATTCTGTTTCTTGAAGAGAACAGTTACTTCTCTAAAATTTAAAGCAGCTCTGTCACCTCCACCACATAATTTGCAAAGACCTCCAATAGTGACACCAATGCTGGGGTCTGATGGCTATGGGGGGTAGGGGAAAGTAGGATTTCATGCTCATACCTGCCCCATGCAGACACTGCCATCTTCTTTCATTCGGACCTAACTCTTCCGCTGCAAGGAACTGACGTCAGTGCTGTACTCTTGCGCATATGCCAGAGTACAGTATTGCGATCTACAGACGATCTTGCAAGACTGCGGGATCCTCCATAGAAAGAGCTTTTATTACAATTATAAGGTTTGAGAAATGACAAGAATACTGAGACAAAGTAGTCACAAGTCTTATGTCTTTTGACTTGGTTGTAATTTCAGTGAAATTCCAATACATATAATGTGAGTATTTTATAAAGATTTTATCCTAATGAAATAATTATTTTGGAGGAGGTGATGACAGAGCTACTTTAAACCTTTAAATAAAGTATTAAAATTGGATGCGGCACACTCAAGGCCACGTTACCCCCCCTTCCTCCCCTCTATTGGACTGACAGGGAATATGGCGGTCCCTACTGGGCCATAAAGTCAATGCACTCAGCAGCTCTGGTGGGCGGCTAAGATGACTGTTGCGCTGGAATCATCACAGGGTCAGTTAAGCTCAGAGAACTATCCGTGGAAGGAGGCTTTTGAAGCACGGTTTGATGCTATCTTCCAAGCATTTTGGAACCGTATCTCTAGCAGACCTCAAGTGCTTACCCATCGGCCCTACAATTATCTCATGATGCCGCCCGTTCTTCTTCCAGGATGGGGGTGCACTTGGAAATATCTTCATACCACAGTCCATGCACCAATGGAGGAGTCCGAACCACAGACCAGTGGGCCCAAGACCTAGCCATACAGGGTAGGAGGATCTATGAACTTATGGGAGTGGCTCCCATTGAGGCCTTGGTCCAAGGTTGCGGTACCCCAAGCATTATCATTTACAACTCACTTGTCAGTTGAGATTTCTGCGATGTCTAATCCTTCTCTGGATTCACTGCCCTCTCGTGTAGTCATCAGAAGTGCTCAACTGGAGGTACGATATGCAGCAGGAGTTCCAGCAGTGCTTACTAATTTCTGAGGCAGCGAGAACGGGAAATACTTCTGGCAAGGAGCTGGACTTTCTGCTGTGGTTTACCCATGGCATTGGGTGAACAAATCTATCTCTCGGTACATCACTGCCTCCTTAACTTGACTTAGTAGAGGCATAGGCTGAATACTCATGCAAACCTGTTTTTTTACAGAGATGGCTCTCTCATCCAGAAATGCCTATAACTCGAATTGTGTATTGCATCAACCTTACCGCATAATTGCATTATTCTGGTGATTTTCTATTATTTGTGTATTTCATACAACCATCTCAATAAAACAAAGATTGACAAAACAAAAGTATTCAAAATCACTCACAACTTGTGTTAACCTTTTTATGTAATTTATTTTATCTTTTAAACGTGTAATAAACATGTTTTAGATGACATCACAATCCAATGTATTCCAGGCACAGCCAGAGCACACATTGCCAGGTCCAAAGGTTTTATAACAATCAAGGAGGTACCCAGAAAAAATACATTTAATTTCATTTTCACACTTCACAAATGCATATTTGTTAAATATAGGTTAAGAATACATATTGAAAATCTTGAAAAGTGATACTGTGTATTTTTAAATGTATTGTAACATGCAAACTGTATGTAGTCCTTCAATGTTGTCTAATGTCTATTCTCTATTATTCTTTCAAGAAGGGGTTGAAAAACTGCCAGAACCCTGACTCCTTTAACCCCTTAAGGACACATGACAGAAATATTCCGTCATGATTCCCTTTTATTCCAGAAGTTGTATCATTAATGGGTTAAATATTACTACTGGCATCAAACATTTAGAAGTATGTTTTCATAGAAACAAATTCATGTTCTTCTTTCTAGATACCTAATATAAAAAAAGTATGAATATTTTTTTTAAAATCCTATTGTTTCACAAATGTGTTTCCCTCCCTGAAATCTACATATATTTGGCAACTTGTGGTTTAGTGTGTTTTTATTTCATTTTTTTTTGACAGTCTTTATTTTTAGTTTTAGCACGGGTACAGCGTGTCAGTTTTTGAACAGAATAGAGTACAAAGTATCAACTTATAAGATATATAATATCCAACAGGATTGAAACAGTATTTAAACACATCAAACCACATAGGATCTTAGAACAGTCGACATGTTACAATGGGTGAGGACAAGATGATGGCATTGTAGTGTAAGGCCAGTTCTTTCGCGCACTATGGTCGGGTGCGGTGGTCATTGTCTCTCTAGAGACCTGTTCTGGTGTAGGGCAGACAAGGTCGTGGCTCCCTGGCTTCTGGGAGCGTACCAGTAAGTTGATGTAGTCACAGTCAACTGTCCGGGGAATTAAGCGGGGGCTGATGTCCAGTTTGTCAGAAGCCCGCTCATGGCTACATTGACGAATGTCTGCAGCCAAGAGGGTCACCAGAGAGGTCGGGTCTCAGTCAACCTTCCGTCTATCAGTCGAAGCTGGCGGGTGAGCAGGGGGGAGATGTAGGAAGGAGAGGGAGGGTGGGTGGGGCGGGGGGCTTGAGCCGGTCCCCCTGCATTATGTGGTGGAAACTGAGCCAGTCGGAGTCAGTATATGCGTGCAGGTCTGCGGGCGCTAGTCCCCCTCCAACCCCCGGGTTGTGCGTGATGGGCGTGAGAGAGCCGTCCAGGGTGGTGAGTTGGTGCGAGTACCGCACCGTGCACCAGACTCATAGCGTTGCGTCAATCATTGGGTTGCCTGTACGCAGGGAACTTAGCGCGAGGGATCCAAGCCACAGGCGGGAAGTGAGAGTTCCGTCCGACTGAGCTAGTTCCATGGGAACCCATAATTTAGCCATATGGCATACGTGCCAGTCCACAGTCCAAAGTAAGTGGGAGGCACGGTAATATCTCAGGAAGGAGGGGAGACCAGCTCCCCCACGGGCTTTGGGGCATTCTAGGAGCGCTTTGCTCACCCTACTTGCCTTCCCGTTCCACACAAATTGCCGGATCGCCTGTGAGAGAGATTGGAAGAAGGCTCCTGGTATGGAGATGGGTATAGCTTGGAACAGAAATAGGAGGAGCGGTAAAACATTCATTTTAACGGCATTAATCCAGCCGAACCAGGATCTTGCTGTGAGCGTGATCGGGAGGACCTCGGACTTGCTCATGTTTAACTTAAGGTTGGAAATATCGCCAAAATCCTTAAAGGCTCGGAGGAGGTTGGGAAGGGAGATCGCGGGGTTGTTGAGGAAAAATAGCATGTCATCCGCATATGCGGCCACCTTATGTTCCATGTTGTGCAGTCTGTACCCCGTAATGCCCCCATCCCGTCTGACCGCCTCCAGGAAGGGTTCCAGGGTGAGGGCAAACAGGAGGGGTGACAGTGGGCAGCCCTGCCTCGTGCCATTGCAGATGGGGAATGGGGCTGAGAGGGCGCCGTTGATCCTTATACGGGCAACCGGGGTAGTGTAGAGCGCTAGTATCCAGGAGCGAATATGGGGTCCGAATTGCATATGTCTGAGGGTGGCTTCGAGATACTGCCAGTCCACCCGGTCGAAGGCTTTTTTCGTGTCCGTCGAGACCAGGACCAAGTCCTTGTTTGTCGACCGGGCGGAGTGGATCAGGTTGAGGGCTCGTATGGTATTGTCCCGCGCCTCCCTACCCGGGATGAACCCCACCTGGTCGGGGTGTACCAATGTGGGAAGCACGCGGGAGAGTCTGATGGCTAAGGTCTTGGCGAATAGTTTGAGATCCGAATTGAGGAGCGAGATTGGTCTGTAACTCCCGCAGTTGGTGGGATCCTTTCCCTTCTTCGGTATGACCGTCACCATTGCGTGCAAGGAAACTGATGGGAACCTACCGCCCTCCAGTAGGGAGTTAAGGCCCTGTAGCAAGTGTGGGAACAGTGTGTCCCTAAACTTACGCAGATATGAGACCGGTAGCCCGGGGCCTTGTTGGATTTGGACTGTTTAAGGGCGGCGACGAGTTCTTCCTCTGTAATAGGCTGGTCCAGTTCCTCTGCCAGTTCTTCCAGGACTCTGCGTCCAACGTACTCCGAGAGGAAGTCGTTCATCCGTTGCAGGTGTTGCGATGTCTCTGTGCGTCCTGTGGTGGCGTCAATATTATAAAGCTCTGAGTAAAAGAGCCCGAATGTCTGAAGGATGTCTGCTGGAGTCCTTTTCGTCACCCCATCCCTCCCTGTAATCTGGTGGATGTGATGTTGTCGCTGCCTCTGTTGCAGAGTGCGGGCTAGTGTTCTTCCGCATTTGTTGGAAAATTCATAAAAATGTCTGTTGGACTTACGGATGGTTTGCAGCAGTTTCTGAGAGAGTAGGTCTTTGAGTTGCTTGCGCTTGTCAGTGGGGAGGCGGTATGTGTCGTCCGTTTGATCTCGCTTGTGCCGCGTCTCCAGGTCGGCTATTGCGTGTGTCAAGTCTTGGATCTTTGCGGTATGATCCTTTTTCCGTTGAGTGCATAGCTTGATGAACTGGCCCCGAATCACGCATTTGTGCGCTTCCCATATCGTCAGAGGCGCAGTGTCTGGGCCGCCGTTTTCGGCGAAGTATTGGGTCAGTGTTTGTGTGATCTGTGTGGTAAAATCGGCGTCCATCAGGACACTTTCATTAAGTCTCCATTGTCGCTCCCGCGGCTTGAAAAGCGGCGATTTAAGCGTGACGTGGACTGGGGCATGATCGGAGTCATGTTGTATCCCTATGGTGGACGTGATCAGGAAGGGGAGGAACTCTTGGGCGAGAAAAATATAATCTATCCTGCTATATCTGTTATGTGCTGCAGAGTAGCACATGTAGTCTTTAGCTTCGGGATGCGCCACCCTCCAGCAGTCGACCAAGCCTGACCTAACCAATGCCTGTTTAGCACTCCGTATACAGTGTGGGGGGATGGTGATGGTACCTGTAGATGAGTCTACCCGGGGGTCTAGTGGGAGGTTGAGGTCTCCAGCAAGCACCAGGGTTCCTTCTCGGAATCTCTCTAGCCGGGTAAGGGTGGTCGCTAGGAACCAGTGTTGTCCCTTATTCGGGCTGTAAATGGTGGCGAACGTGTACTTGTGGTCCGCTATCGTACCCTTCACAAATAGGAACCTGCCTAGAGGGTCCGCCTGGGTAGCCGTGCTTAGAAAGGGGACAGTGTGGGCAAAGATAATGGCAACACCCGTGCGCTTAGCTGCAGAGGTTGAAAGTGGTCGCAATGGCTGCTCGGCCACCCAGTGGGGATGGGGGGCGGGACCCTGGGCCCCAAACGGGAGAGTGGGAAGGGAGAGAGTGAGGAAGGAAAGAAGGACAGAAAGAAAGAAGAAGAAGAGAAGAAGAAGAAAAAGGAAAAAAAAGAGGGGGGTGGAGAAGGGGTAAGAGGGGAGGGGACGGGTTGGGAACTGTGTCTGTCGGAGGTTATCAGCCCACTGAGGGCTACGAAATAGTGGGCAACTGTGGCCCTAGGTCTTGTGGGGGAGACCTGATATACAAGAGGGCCAGTTGCAAGGAAGTCCGGTTGGTGGAATCCGTCAAGGAGGACCGGTATCCGCTCTCCCCCGACCCACGGAGAGGGGTACCTAGTAAGTCTGCTGCAGTCTATGAGAGTGAGTTGCCGCATAAGGGGAGGTCAGAGCGGGCACTTTGTTGGTGCCGGCCGGGATTCGTAGAGGGGCCAGTCGTCCGGTCCAATGGTGTCCTGCGTATCGTGTGGGTGGCGCGGAGTAGGGGCTTCGTGGGGGTTCCCGCTTCTGGCCTGTGTTCACGTCTAGGGTGGGGTCACCCCCCTGGGCCCCGTGCGTCAAGGTGAGGGCCCGTCCGTCCGAGTGTGAGCGGTCGGTGGCTGCGTATACGGGGAATGGGTCTAACGTGGGAGGGGAAGACCAGTCCCAGTAAGTTTGTCACCGGGTGTAGGCAGCATGTCTCTGTACCTGGGCAGGTTAAGTCATAGTATGCTAGGCTCATGCCCAGTGTGGGACTGGGTAAAGTAACAGGGTCTGGTTAGCGTCAGGAACTTGGGTCCCTTGCCACACTACTGTAGCCGAGAAAAGCTGGTGAACCAAGATATCCTCATGTCACGTCAGCAGCTGGGGGAGGTCAAAACAGGGGAACACTGTCAGCCAGTGCTAACCTAACATAGTAGCGTGTAACCTAACCGAAACAGTAATATGTACAAAATGTGGGGAGAACGGGTCGGCGGCCCCAGGGCCGTATCTGGGACCTGTCATAGTCCGGGCATAGGACCTTGCACTGTGACTTTATAAATGGGATGAGGCGGCCCCGGCAGCGTGACCATGGCTGATAAAAACCGTAGGGCGATGTCGGTCCGGGAGGGTTGGCGCTCACCGGACTCGGGCAGAGGTGCCTGCAGCTACTCCTCAGATCCATGGGGAAACCCCCAGCGCACGGGCTGCGCTTCCCTCCGCGCTTGGTTACATTGCGGCTGGGGGACCTGGCAGATCTAGGGATCTCAGGAAGCTAGGAAGGTCATTGGGCCATCTCAGGGAACGCCATGTATTGTCTTTTTTGGCCTGGAGGCAAAAAGGGAAGCCCCATCAAATAAGTAAATTGTCATAAATGTAGAGTTTACTATTTTGTATTGTAATTTTCTGGTTTAACAATATAAACTTATCTGCTATCTAAAAGGGGGCCTATAAATAAATAGCAGCGATAGTAAAAGACATGTAAATAAAATAAAAGTAAAAAACATTGTATTGAGGGTCTGAGACATTCTCAACAGATCTTAGTAACGTTATTAGCTGGTAATGTGCATTTTCAGTGTCCAGCATCTTTGAGCTGCCTTCAAAGTGCGGAGAGCATTTAAAAGGAATACATGTAAAGTTATAGGTTGTGTTCAAATGGGGCTTACACAATGCAGCTCATTTAGCTGATTCACAGCTCCTGTCTGTTGTAATAGACAATTTACAGACTTGCTTTAGGTAGCCAGGCAACTTGGAAGCTTCCACGGGTCACCATGGAGAATGTGAAAGATGACAGACAGGGGATATTGTCTGTCCCTTGTAACTGGAGGGTGTGCAGTACCGGGGACCATTCCCCCCTCTCCACCTATAAACCGCTCCCTCCATCTATAAAACTTTCACAAATAACCAAAGACACAAAAGACGCTGGGAGACGTCTCCAGATTCCCGTATAGCACTGTGCCAAGATCTGTAGTTTGCTTCAGACAGTAAAAAAACACAATACAAAGCTCGACAAAACCATGGCTTCACAAAACAAATGTTGGACTCTAACATTACTTAAGTATTTTATATAAAATGTTAAAGTGGCATCTTCTCCCTCAGTTTTAATAAAAGATTGTGTTGAACCTTAACCGTGACTACCAGTTGGCAAAAGTATAAAAGCAATCTTTGGTTTGTGTAATCCAGAGGAGCCTGTGACATATTTTGGCAGTGGAGATATTGAGGTAACATTGGCGTTATGCCATCAGTGTTCACAGCACACCGAGGATCTTTTTAGTTGTTGTTAATAAAAGGAGCAAATTGTGGACACCCTGTACCATCTTGTGTGTACGATTTAGTAGATTGTGCCCACAAGTTAGTTAATGTGTGCTCACAGTTTAACTAATTTGTGGGCATGATATAATTAACTAGTGGGTGCAATCTACTAAATTGCGCACAAAAGATAACTATATCCTGGACAACACCGCCTGCACTTTCTATTTGCAACTACCTCCTTAAGCAGCTGGGTGTAATTGGGATCATAAAGTGTTGTACATCTTACCAACTGTGCATTTAGTGTTTTAGTGTACTCTCTGTGTTGTTGTGTTGCAGACATTTCTAGCATAGCATCTCTGTGTGCAGGTTTATTGCCACAGTAGTTCACAAGGCCACATATAATGCCACAGAATACAACCTCCCCCCCACCTTGCTGGTTAGGACCCTGGTTGCATACTTAGAGTGATTACCCCTATTTAATGCGTATTGCCTGAATCATCCCTAACTACAGCAGAACAACGCTTACTCACTTCCCCGAGTCATAAAACTTGAGAAGAAAAGGAATTATTAGTATTGTTAATTATATAATACAAACCTGACTACAGGCTCCAGGCTTCATTATATCCAATTAAAATTTGATTTGAATAGCATCAGCATGATAGTAGGGCCAGTGACCGAATGATTAGAGTTACTTTTTTGGCACATGAATGAATGACAAAAATTGACTAATAAACATGTATTTTTTTTTTTATCACTTACAATATACATTTTTGTTTTATTAATACACCAAACTAGTATTTGGTGTGCATATTGAATTACACAGTGTGCTAGAAGCATTCCTCAGGGATTTTAGTCCATACTGTTTGCAGAGCGTCATTCATGTCCTACATATATGTCCTTCATAATTATGCTGCTAACCTATTATTCCACTTTATTCCACAGAGGTTCCAGGATCTGGGTGAGTGAGTTGAAATCATTAATTCTAAAATGAGTCAAATAAACTGTAGCTATGAGAGGGATAACGTGATAAGGAACAATAATTACAGACACTATTGAATTTTAAAAGGGACATTCCATGCTTTATTCCACAATCATTACCAGCATGTTTCAAGGCAGGATTGATGCATGTATTAAAGGTGGTTTAGTTATATTGCAATCACTGCACCTTGATTGCAGTTTTTTAAACCCCCTTCTAAAAATGTTTTAAAAACATCTCCAGTCTAGATACATGAGCAGTCTCCAGCTCTTAAAACATCATGAAACAGAGGATGATGTATTAAGATCTGTATAAGTATGTGTGCTTTAAAACTTGCCAAAAATTTTGCAATGATATTGAACATATAAAAGGTCAAAGACATACAGTAAGACCTTAATGTGTTACTCCAACCAAAAAATCTTGCTGTGATGGTCCAGCCCCCCAAATTAAAAAAGAAAACTTACCTCCATTCCAGTGCCGAGACCAAGTTCTCCTGGTAAGTCCTCCTTCACTGACATATTTTCCTTTTGCTGGATGGGGACATATGTCAGGGAGGAAAGGCTGAGGAGATGATATGTGTGGAAGGAAGACTGTGCAGCCATTGGACGCCTGTTAGCGTTGATGTGGAACTCTTGATCCGGGCTGGCTAATGATGCCCCCATGACACTTCTGGAGGTGGAGTTACACCTTTGGGAGCAGAGCGGTTAAACTCTGTATGTTCACTGTTTCATAGAGAATTGCTGAACATACACTACAAACTCCAGACACCAAGACCACCAAATAACCGATTTGGTCATTGTGCTTACAGTAACCCTTTAAATCCAGTAACCCTTTAAATCCACATTTACATATGCCAGCATATACCAGAAACAAAAAGGTGTGAGTACATAGCTATAGAGTATACTCAAACATAATCACATACTGTAGATTTGAGTAACAGTGACTGTCTTTGCATTGCTGCCTCTAAGAGGGGCTTTCTGACTGCACTCCCTCAAGAAATACATTGACTCAATGTATCTCTGTGAGGAGATGATGATTGATGCCATGTAGCGATTCTCCAATATTTCCTCGTGGAGAGCTGTTGGATTGACTGAGATCATCGTTACTGATAATCCTAGCCAGGGAGGAATGGCCTCCACAGTAAGACTGGAATGACGGTAGAATAAAGGTGAAGAAATCTGTTGGGTTTTTTTACTTCCAGGGGAGAGACACTGCTTCTACCTAGGTAGCTTGACCCTCTAAAAATAGTAATATGACTTTAAATAAACCATAAACCATCAGCTGACCTTTTCCTTTCTAGTTCATATCAAGGGATATGAGAGAGTACAACCAGCGTTTCATGGTATGTATGTACTAACATACTGTCCTATGATGTTTTCCAGTAAATAAGATTGCCTTCTTACAAATGAGGAAATGTTAGTTTGGCACTATAACAGCGTAACATTATAACAAAGTGGCTTCAGTCTGGAAATCCATGAGTCATATAATAAATATTTGCTATATATCAGTCAATGTGGATAAATGGATGGATAAATGAACAGAGGGCCAGAGCGACAGAAAGATGGATACTTGTTAATGTATGTTAAATAGTTACTCTACGTACCATGATAACGCCAATGATTTGAAGTGGTGATGGTGCATGGGGTCAGTATGCTCAGCGTTTCGCTATGAAACACTTTACATATGGAGTGTAACACATTTGTGAAGTTACATATCTGGCAGTGTCTTTGCAGCATCTTTAGCTAGACAAGTGTTACAGGAGTT